TATACCATTGTGGTTCATCCAAGTTCGATTTCTATTCATTCTTGAAATTTAAAATACAAGATAGTCCGTAGCAGCATAAAAGCAAAAAAAATAGTTAGTTATCAAATTAAGAAAAAGTTTATAGGTTAAAAACAATCAAATTATGCCAAGTTAATCACCTCCACTTTCGAAAAAATATCAAAGTATAGCTAATGCTTAGGATTTTGGTGTTAGCCTAAAATCAAAAATACAAAGTACTATTCTTTTTTATATTTTTTTAGGACTATTATTTTACATACTTATAGCTTTTTGTAGTCAAAATTTTAATAATAAATTATAAAAATAGAGCACTAAAAAATTTGTCATCTACAAGTTAATAATCAGAACTATCCAATCCACACAAACTACTTATTAATTCATATATTAAGCACACCATATGTTTAGGGTAAAAATACCCTAGACACGTGGACCAATGAGAGGAGGCCACGTGTCGAGCTCAGGATGGCCCACGTGGCTTAACATCCTCTTGACACTTGGCGCCCTCAGATACACCTATGAAATGGCGGCCTTCAAGGGCCCAAATCCCTAGAAGCATCGTTTTACGGCGCAGCCCACTGAAATTTAGGTCAAGTGACCTAAATAAGGACACGTTCTCCAAGGACCCTATAAATAGGGAGATATTTCCCCACTTTGGTGACACATTCAATCATTTATTACACCTACATTCTCTCACATCAGAGAAATATCTGAACTTGGAATCCAGGCAGATCCCCACCTAAATTTCCATACTCTTTATTCCCTTTCAAGTTACTAACTTGATCGTCGGAGGCGGAGCTCCAACCACCCGGAGTCTCCGTTATTTTGCAGGTTTAACTCAGTCGGATCAGACTTCGTGACGTAACTGTCCCAAGGGACAAAAACACCCAAAACATTTGGCGCCGTCTGTGGGGAGAGTACCTCGAAGATGGTTCAAGAGTCTGTACCACCCCATAACCGTCTGGGCGATGACCCAAAAGTCTTTACAGACCAGGAGGATGAGGATCCTCAGGTCAAAACCTTTACAGCCTATGATGGCTCGCTCAGAATAAAGCGCATCCGGCTCGGAGACACTCTGGAGCGGGGTGCCTCCCAGGCGGGTACAAGTCGACCCCCTGGGCAACCGGAAGGGGAAACCCATACGGCCGCTGGATCAGCACCTATCACCCGAGACGAACTCATGAGGTTCATGACAAGTTTCAAGGGTGAAATTAAAGAGCTAATCACCCTGAGCCGGGCCGGCCCAAGTAAAGGTCAGTCGGCTAAGAAGACTCCTCTGGAAAAGGGGAAATCATCCAGAGAATGACAGCTCACTCCTCATCCAAAGGAGAAGGCAGCCGGGACCATTGATTGGTAGAAAATTCTTCTCCCTCAGAGAAATACCAACAACACCCGCCGGACTCAGCAGCCGGTGGGAAGTAAACAATCAACTCTTGATGCCCGGGAGATTATCAACCAGAAGAGAAATAAACAATTGTCTGAATCAGCTTCAACGTCGAATTTTCCAGACAGCTTTAAAAATACTTCTGCGAGGAATGCACCTTCCTTGCATGAGAGTCAGACAGGCGGTAATACCGTCCACTCTGGCCCTCATATGATCGGGGCTGCACCATATGTACCTTCTCAGTTCTATAGTCAGTACCCACCTTACTATATGCAGCCGGCTCTCTTCGGAGGTCATGCGGCATACCACAATGTCCAGCCACTGGACTGGCAGCTTCGTCTGCTCCGCCTGGGTGAACAACCTTCTGCGTTCACCCGGGAGATAACCGAGGCGGCCCAGCCGGCCAAGGTTATGAATGTATTGTTTGGTACCTATGATGGTACCACCAATCCGGAAGATCACCTCATGGCTTACACCAACCTCATGTACTTGCAGGGGTTGGATGATGCCACTTGGTGTCGTTGCTTCCTGGCTACGTTGAAGGGCATTGCCCAACAATGGTTTGGTAATCTGCCGGCCGGGTCCATCGATAGTTTTAGGAAGCTTGCTTTCCTATTTGCTTCCAACTTCTCAATGAACATCCCTTCTAAGAAAACAAGCTTGGACTTGAGCACCATTAAGCAGAGGGAGAGAGAAGGGTTGCGCTCCTATGTCAGGCGGTTCAATCTGATTAGAATTCAGATTCAAGGACTGTCTGATGAGGTAGCTTTTACAGACTTTTTCAAAGGTCTGAGAGACGGGTCGACTTTTAAGTTCGACCTAGTCAGAAAAGGGGCTTTCACCTTACAGGCGGCTGTGAGGGAGGCGAAAAGCTACATTCAAGCTACTGGCCTCTGCTCGCCTGGTAACCAGTCGGACTCCAAGAAGTCCGATAAGCAGAAAGACAGCCGGCCTGCCCAGCCGGCCAAAAAGAAAGAAGAGAGCAAGAAGAGAAAAGAAATCTAGGCGGTTAGTGATTCTGACCAGCCGTCCCAGAAGAAGAAGTAAGAATTTAAACCGTACGTCCCAAAGTACGAGTTTAACAAGGACTGCAACTCTATCCTCATGGAGATTAAGGACCGGTTGTCCCTAGAGAAGCCGAATCCAATGAAAAGTTCCATTCAATCAAGGAACAAAAATAAATTTTGCCAATACCGTGAGGAAGTTGTCCATGACACCAACGACTGCTTCAGCCTTTAACGGGCGCTGGACCGTGTGGCTGACAAGGGAATGCTGAAGTCCTATATTTCTAAGTCCCCAGCCGGGGCAAAGAAGAAGAATAAGGGTTAGTACTCTAAGACTACCCCCCAGCCTGCTAGTAGCTCGGATACCGACAAGGAGCCGGTCTACACAATAGCAGGCGGGTTCTCATGTGGTGGCCCTACAATCCGGGGCACCAAGAGCCATCTTCGAAAGATGGACAAAGATAATGAAAGGTAGTGTTCGCCGCCCACATTATGACCCAGTCATCATTGAATGTAAGGTTGCCAACCAGCTGGTTGGACGGATCCTTATCGATACCGGCAGCTTATCAGACATCATCAGCCTCCGGTTCTTGCAGAAGCTGAAATATAATGACAGTAGCTTGCATCCGGTTACCCACCCATTAGTTAGCTTTGGGGGTGGAATGGTTTACTCAGTTGGAAGGGTTGATCTACCCATTCGCCAGGGTGAGAAAGGAAAAGGGCGACACCTGGTCGTCAAGTTTTTGGTAGTTGAGGAGCTGACCGGCTACGACATTATTTTAGGCCGGCCAACCCTCAACGAATCCAAGGCTGTAATCATCCCTTCCCTCATGCTCATCAAGTATGAGAGGGCTGACGGCTCTGTCGGTTCCTTGAATGGGGGTCAGAAGACGGCCTGGGAGTGCTATCTCTCAGCCGTCAAAGATACCGTGGCCCCAGACAGCCAGGAACCAATAGAGCTTGACAATGTCAAGGATGCCAATCCAGTACCAGCCCCACCAGCAGCCAGGAAGAAAAGGAAGGCACCTATGCTGGTGGAGGTGAAGAAAGAGAAAAAAATAGTAATCACTAACCGGTGAACGGTCAGATGAGCTCCGTCCCTAACCGGATGGTGAACATATTGATATACCTCTGGACGATAGCCGTTCGGAGCGTACCGTGAAGGTTAGGATAGTTGCTTTTGCTAAGTTGGGTGCAGACTTGCACCTTCTGCTAAAAGAATTCAACGACATTTTTGCCTTTGAAGTGGAAGAGATGCCAACCGTCAGCCCGGATCTTGCTGTCCACAAACTCGCCATGGATCCTAAAAAGAAGCCCATCCGGCAGAAGAACAGAAATCATGGCGAGGAAAGAAGTCAGGCGGCAGCTGCCGAAGTTAAAAAGCTGTTGGATGCTGGGTTCATTCGGCCATGTAATTTCCCCGACTGGGTGGCGAATGTTGTGCTTGTAAAGAAGCCGAATGGTACCTGGTCTATGTGTGTTGATTACACAGATCACAACAAGGCATGTCCCAAGGATTGTTATCCGCTTCCTAAGATCGACAGTCTGGTCGATTCGACAGTCGGGCATGCCTTGATGAGTTTTATGGATGCCTACTCCAGCTTCCATCAGACACCCCCGTGGAAGAAAGATCAAGAAAAGACGGCCTACGTCACTGATCAGGGGCTATTCTGTTACACTGTGATGTCGTTTGGCTTAAAAAATGCGCCGGCTACGTTTCAACGGATGATTAATACGGTCTTTATTAATCAAATTTGGAGGAATGTAGAGGCGTACATTGATGACATGATAGTAAAATCCCAAACCTTTGAGAGGTGGACACGTGTCACAGGCCCCACGTGATATGCACGTGCGACCTGTGAGGGGCAAATGTTTAGGGTAAAAATACCCTAGACACGGGGACCAATGAGAGGAGGCCACGTGTCGAGCTCAAGATGGCCCACATGGCTTAAAATCCTCTTGACACTTGGCGCCCTCAGATACACCTCTGAAATGGCGGCCTTCAAGGGCCCAAATCCCTAGAAGCGCCATTTTACGGCGCATCCCACTCAAATTTAGGTCAAGTGACCTAAATAGGGGCACGTTCTCCAAGGACCCTATAAATAGGTAGATATTTCCCCACTTTGGGGACACATTCAATCATTTATTACACCTACATTCTCTCACATCAGAGAAATATCTGAGCTTGGAATCCAGGCAGATCCCCACCTAAATTTCCGTACTCTTTATTCCCTTTCAAGTTACTAACTTGATCGTCGGAGGCGGAGCTCCAACCACCCGGAGTCTCCGTTATTTTGCAGGTACAACTCAGCCGGATCAGACTTCGTGACGTAACTCTCCCAAGGGACAAAAACACCCAAAACACCATATATTATTCCATATAATAAAAACTGTCCAATCCACAAAAACTACTCATTACAACATTTCTCTTAAAGCAATAAGTTCAGGTACTATTAAAATCATATAGATGCACAAAATTAATAATAAGCTAGTACTCATCAAAGAAACATACTCACAATTTACCCCATATATATATATTCATATATATATACATACATATAATATAATCAAAAGCATTCAAATAAAAAAACACCAACCTGAATATTGGTAGCTTGATTAAGAAACACTAATGTTCAAATCTTCTCTTTAAAGCTCCTAAGCTCCTGAACAAGGGGTATTAGAAGGATCTTTACAATTAAGCAAAAGAAATAATTTAGTTTTTGGTTCATTATATTTAGAGTAGTAGCTAAGGTTGTTATTTGCACATGAGTTAATAAAAAAAGTTATGGAGCATATAACACTTTCACTGAACAAATAACTCTAAAATCAAAAGTCAACATTTTTTTGAAGCTTTTTTGTTATTGAGTGCTTAGTAATAAGAACATGAGGCTGAAAATTTCAGGTATGTTTAGATGGGGTGAATAATAAGGAATACAATAAGGAAAGAAAATTTCTTTAAATTTTGTTAAGGGCGAATAAGCTAGGGGCCATGAAGTTCATAAAACTTAATCAGGGTCAAGAAGTTCTGGAACCATGTTAAACTAAAATAGTTGTTATTACTGATGGTGAAAAAGATACCAGTAGTATACTGTCATTGTTAATGTGTACACTACAGTAGTATGATTTGGCTTCTGATTCTTTAAGTGACATATAACTCAATATTCTCTTAAATGGTTTAATTACATCTAACATTGTAAACATATATGGCAAAAACAACGGAGTATAATATAACACATATCTTACACTAGTAGGGGTAGTAACCTTTAAGTACTTGACCAAGATTGGGAAAGTTGTTGTGCTATCAACTGCCAGAAGCAACATAGTATACTCAATTTACTCATGTAATAATTAGAATGTTAAGTTCTATATTATAAATCTGTAACAAAATAACAACAACTAAAATTTTAAAAAATCAGACCCGATAGAAAACCACTTATCAAAGTAATTAAACTAATATCATTGTCCTCAACATCCTAAATACAATATAATTCTCACTGAATATTAAGAGAGCTAATATCCTCTAATATGCTCTCTAATAATTGATATTACATGAGCAATTAAAATTCAATCAGATTCTGGGTTAATCTTACCCAACTAAGAATCCTTACAATTTGTTGGGACAAATCTGTCATCTAAACTTCTTACATCGTGCCAAACAAAATCAAGAAAATTAACCAAAAGTAATAACGTCATTGATCTAAATTGGAAAAATTAGACGCATTTTCAAGAACAAATTTTTCATTTAATTACTGAAACAAAACTCGAATGTCACTCGATTAATATACTACCTCCGTTACAGGTTATGTGCAACGATTTGACATAAAGCAGAGAGGGAAAATGTCTAATCGTTGCACATAACCTGTAACGGAGGTAGTAGAAAAGAACAATTATTTTGCTTCAGAATCTTTATTAGTTTTACAGAAAACAAAATTCGATTGATATTAACCACTATATAACTGACCCGTTAAAAGGATGCGTTGAAGCCATTGTTATTGCCTCCCTTAACCACCGCCGGACAACCTACGAAATTATCAAATAAATTATGGTTTGATAAAATTACAAACTAGAAAATAATATTGAGAAAGGAAAAACTTGGATTTAGATATTGTATAAAGAAGCACAATTGACCAAAAACACGCAAAAACTATAGCTCTTCAATGGCTTTCGCAAGCTCTAGTACGAATAGGGGATAGAGGAAAGGGAAGAACTAAACTAATGAAACTGATGTACGGAGTATAATATATTTGAAGTTTTGGCATATTTGGGATTTTTATTAAGCGGGTTTTATTTCCGCCTAATTTTAATTGATGGGCAACGACATTAGACATCCTTTTCAGCCCAATTTAATTGGTTTGGGAAATAGGTAAAGTTATTTTGTCACCCCAGTCATATTAATGGGCAACTATCAATAATTTTGTGGCCCAATTATGAATAAGGGCAACGCAAATCTTGGCCGTTGCCTGTTATAATTAGATGTTTGGGCGACGATTATTAATTTTGTCGCCCATAAATTATTAATCCGTTGCCCAAAATTATTTTTCTTGTAGTGCTTTTCCAATTGGTTTGTGAGAGTTTCCAAATATGTCTGGTAAGGGGCCAAGCTCTCACTCCTTACTTTCCATGTTTTTAAAATTTGGTTGATGATCAAAGAAGAATCTCCGAATATTCGAAGTTTCTTTACTCCCAATGCCAAATGTTGTTTCGAGCCTTACCATGACACCACGTCCCTTTTTGTTTAAGGCTCCGTCGAAGTATAGAGTCCAAGTATCATCTTCTGTGACCATCAAATCTTAGTCTGGAAAACCATTCTCATGTTAGTGTCAAATCTTTTATTGGAAAGTCCGCTAAGAAGTCCGAGACCACAGATCCTTTAATAACCTTTTGGGGCATGAATCTTTTATCACATAGGGCTAAGTTAACTATCCATCTTGATATTCGGCCATTTAGTGTAGATTTCTCGAAAAGATACTTAAGTGTATCCATTCAAGATACTACGAATACTGTATGAACGAGCATGTAATGTCTTAACTTAGTCGTGGCCCACACTAATGCGAGGCACAATTTCTTACGCGGTGTATATCGTATTTCATACTCGAGCATCTTTTTACTTAGATAATAGATTACATTCTCTTTTCCTTCTACTTATTGTGCGAGCATAGCCCCCATTATCTCTTTGGTGACTGTTAGGTACAACCTAAGAGAAATTCTTGGGAGCTGTTGTGCTATAACAGGAGGATTAGCGAGATAGGCTTTGATTTTTTCAACGGCTTTTTAGCATTCGTCGTCCCATATTAATGGCACATTCTTCTTGGGCTTCTTGAATATTGGTTCACCTATTGTTGTTAACTTGGATATGAACCTACTTATATATTGCAATCGGTCAATGAATCCCCGAATTTGCTTCTCGGTCTTGGGCTGCGGCATTGACATGATTGCCTTGATCTTGCTTGGTTCTATCTCTATTCCTCTAGAGCTAATGACGTATCCCAAGAGTTTTCCTGAGGTGACTCCAAAAGCACACTTAGATGAGTTTAACCTCATGTTGTATTTCCTTAGACTTTCTAAGAACTTTCTTAAGGCTACTAAATTTCCTAGAAAGTCCTTTAATTTTATAATCATGTCATCCACATAGACTTTGACTTCCTTGTGCATCATGTCATGCAGTAAGGCAGTCACATCTTGTTGATAAGTGGCACCCGCGTTTTTCAACCCAAATGGAATTATCGTGTAATAGTAAGTGCCCCTAGGTGTTATAAATGTTGTCTTTTCCATGTCTTCTTCTGCCATGAGAATCTGGTTATACCCCACGTATTCGTCCATAAACGAGAGAAGTGCGTGATTTACAGTATTATCCACTAGAATGTCGATGTGTGGTAAAGGGAAACCGTCCTTTTGAGTTGCCTTACTTAGATCTCGATAGTTGACACAAATTCTTACCCTTCCATCCTTTTTTGGAACTGGGACCACGTTTGCGACCCATTCGGGTTATTTTGATACCCTGATAAAACGTGAAGTTCTTTGTTTTTGTACCTCTTCTTTTAATTTAAGAGCTACGTCAGGTTTCATTCGACGTAACTTTTGATTTACAGGTTTCATTCCTGGAATTAGTGGTATTGTGTGTAGAACTATCTCTCTATTTATTCCTGATATATCTTTATACGACCAAGCGAATACATTAATAATTTCTTTTAGTAGATTTATTAAATCAGTTATTTCATCTTTATTAAGCGTTAGTCCAATTTTAACTTCTCTTTTAATGGTTGGATCTTTTGAGATATCAACTGTTTCAGTGTCTTCAATTAGCGGTGTTTTATTTTCAAGTGTTTCCATTGCTTTAATTATTACTTGTCATTTTCATTGTTAGTTAAGCAATGCTTGTCATCTTGGGTTATAGAATGACACAAGGAGTAGGCAAATAAAGGCATATTATTAAATTCAGAAACCATTACATCAAATAAAGATAGGTCCGCTCGAACTTGATTACTAACTATTCTAGGAGTAGGTGCTAAAACAGAAGAATTGGGGGAAGGTGCTACAGCTAGAGACTTAGAAGACTTGATAATGGAAGACTCGGACTCGGACTCTAACTCAGACGACTCTTTGAATATTGGTTCTTGTCCTGTTTTTATAGAGATCTTTCTTTTACTTGGAGTAGTCACTTTCATGGTCATTCACCATCCTTGAACTAATACCTCAGCTAGAGTGATAAGCTTAGAAGGATCAAAGTTATCACTTTGTAGTACCGTTTGAATGAGCAAGGAGTTATCCTCAACATATGTTGGCTCATTCTTCTCGTGCCCAAAGAGAAGTCCCATGACATTAAAGTCAAAGCAGAAAGGTGCTTTCTCCTTATGGATAGGAGTTGGGATATCATTTAGAAATTTTCAATACAAGAAGATTTCAAACCCAGGTGGTCTTATCCCATTCTTGATAAAGGGTTCAAGAAATTCATGGCATGGATAATCCTCTCCCTCTCTTATGAATTGTCCATTTACGGTGAGAGGATAATAATCCTTTCTTTTTTTTGGTACAAGCATTCCTACGTGCATTGGCTTTTTCCCGGGCTTGCTTAAGGTCTTCTAGAGTCGGTTCGAAACCAAGTCCAAAAGTGTTCAATTTAGGGAGGCCACATAGTCCCATCCGTTTTGCTATCTCCTTCTTCTTTCTGAGAGTCATTCCAGGAAAGTGTCCTTGTTTTCTGAGGATAGCATTTGTTGTCATGCTGGAGTGGAGGTTGTAGCAAAGAGGGGTCCTTTCATTCTCCTCGATTAAGGAGACCTGTTCGTTAAAGCCCTAAAAATCTTTATTATTTTCATCGTACGGTACCAAGTACTTGATAAGAGACGCAATTTGAGATGTGTTCATGTCGAAGACATTGGAACACTTGCCTTTAGACATTGTTTTTTTATTTACTTATTCTTTTTTTATTATTATTTTCCTTTATTTGAACTTGCTTTCTTACTATTACACAAATTGCAGACCTCCCCATCCCAAGGTTAAGTGATGTGGGTTGAATAAATAAGGTCTATCGTTAGACAAGGCTTAAAAAGGTTGACGAATAAATGGATATGTGATTGAATGGTTAATAGGGAATGACAGGGTTGCAAAGGTGCCTCAAGTCATTGGTGTACCTTGTGTTCAGTTCAGTATGAGTGAATGAAAAATGTTATCATCGAGTAAAGGAAATATGCTCATTTTATTATGGAAAAGGTGAACAAAACACATGAAACATATATAAATTCGAAATGGAAAACCAATGCTAAACATGAATGAGGAATGGAGATGAATGATAAAAAAAATAAAATCATGGAATCTAGCACAGATGATCTACTGTGAGCCTAGTGTTCATTACTTCTTGTCGCCTAGAGGGACAGGAAATTTGTTTTCATCCACCAAGTCTTGAATGACGTCCTTTAAATTCCAAAATTTGCTTGGTAGTGTGGCCTCTTCCTTTATGGTACTTTCAATGGGCATTGGGATTACATTTGACACTCCCGTCTTCAGGGTTTGGCTCTAGAAATTGCCCAATAGGTGTGATCAAGCCTTGACCATAGAGGCGATCAAGTCTGCATCATCAGTCATTTCTAAAGGAGTGTAAGTTCTCCTTTTCTTGGGCAATGGAGCATCAAGAGCTAACAATTCATTAAGATTAACTTTGCTTGTATTGCTGGTAGTATTTTTGTCCTTAGAAGACGAAGAAGAAGAAAGGTTGTTCTTCTTGTTTTTCCAGGTGTTATTATTGTTAGTCTTTATTAACTTATCCTCTATATCGATTTCGATGTCGTATACAGCTTTGAAAGTGTTTAGTGGAAGAAATTTGAGATGTTCCCTATACTTGTGAATAAGATTTATGATAAAGAGGCGAACTATCTCTCTTTCTTTAGGAGGATCTACCAAGAGTGAAGTTGTTTCCCTCTACCTGTTCAGATAAGCAGTGAAGTCTTCATTCTCTTTCTGTTTGAGAATGGAGATTTCACGTTCAAAAGTTTTGGTTTAAATGTTACACTTGTAACGATTCATGAAACTGTCAGTGAAATCTTGCCAAGTCGCAGTACGCTTGGCATCTAGGGAATAAAACCACTGTTGACAAACAATGCTCTAAGGAGAAAGGGAACACCGTAGGGAAGAGTGTTATGTCTAATCCCTTAAGAGCCATGGTTCCAGAGAACGCCTTCAAATGGAATATTGGATTGTCAGTAGGCTTGAACTTTGGAATATCAGCGGTGGAGAACTTTTCAGGGAACCTATATTTCACATCCAAAGGAGTGGGAGGCTGTTCAACATAAGTGAAATCCACATAAATCTTTCTCATATGTTCCTTCAATTTGTCAAGGGTAGATACAGTGATCTTATTTTGTTCCATGGTAGTGACCCTAGAGGTATGAATTTTCATTATGGCAGACACTGCCTCGATGGATTTCTTGATGTTCTCAATATCTTCTTTAGTGACCATTGGAAAAAAAAAACTGAAAGTAGTTTGAAGGTGAACGCCTCTTAGATCAAAGAGATTGTTGCGGTGATGACTTAAACCATATTAATCTACCCCTGATCCTTGACCAAGTATTGAAATAAAATAATTCACTTAATTGTTTGACGCATTTCTCAAGATAGGAAAGAAAGGAGAAAAAAGGGACATTAGAAAACATGTGAGAAAAAACTCCACTCGTGGTGCATGAACCTAGTATACGATCATAAACGACATGGTGCACAACTCGAGTCGGAAAATAAATAAAGTTTGTGGACTATACTTGACTCGTGA